AACAGCAGACACAACATATATTTTAAAGGGGCCTTTGACAAAAGTTGTTTGGCTTTTAGTTCTTTGAAAGTGACATTATGATGATCACCTGTCACACTCTCCTTAGACAAACACTCTGTAATCTGGATACTGTTATATACTGTTCACGATCCACTCTGCTGGTGACCACACCCTAGCTGTTGTGTACTCTAGTGAACACAAAGAGCAATTCTTTAGCAATTAAGCTCCTCCATAGCCACAGTGCAGCATGTCTCTTTATACTTTACATGCTTTAGGCTTCTAAAATGTGTAAAGTTAAGAGCTCAAGAAAAGTTACAAATGAGAGGAGTCGATTTGGTCTGTTACCTTAAGCCTGGTTAACATGGCTAGGTAGCTTTGTCCAGAACCCCTTTGTGCATTGATGTGTATCCTGTTATCACTCTTAAACATTCACGATTTTCTCTTGTGTTCTCTAGTTTGTAATTTACTCTTGACCAGGAAGTCAGGTCTGTCAAACATTGTAAATACAATGAATTGAAATCCACTTGAATCCCCTACTCCCATAGTCATCTGTGTTTAAACTATGGAGATTCAGTTCTTATGGGCTTATGGGTCCATCTTATGAGTCAGTGTAAGATGATCCTTTACACTCAGCAACATACTTGCCTTTTTTTATTCCACAGAATTTCTAGACACCAGGGGAGGCCAAGCCTGGAGACATGGTCTAGCACTAACAGGTAACCCTGGAATCAATACATGAGTGTTGATCAGTGTATTTATTGAATAGATTTGCACTAGGAGGCGGCACAGTAGTGCAGAGATTGGCATTGCTGCCTCCCAGCGCTGAGGCCCTGGGCCCACTTCCTGGGATGCTATCTGTGTGGAATGGCTGTGTGGGATTCCTCCTGGTGCTCCAGTTTCCTCCCACCTTCCAAAGACATACTGGTAGGTTAATTTGCTCCTGTAAAATTGGCCCTGGTGTGTGGTTGTGTCTGTGTGTGCCCTGCAGTGGACTGTTATCCCATCCAGGGTGTATTTTGCCTTGCGCTTTGCTTGCCAGGATAGACTCAGGCATCCCAGTGGCCCTGTATTAGATTAAGCTGTTAGAAAGTGGAAGTATGGGTCGATTTGATTAGGTCAGGAATGGCCTATTTCACCTACTTCAAGGTTCATAAGAACATAAGGGAGATTACAAATAAGAAGTTGATCTAGCATATTTGGCTGACGATCTCATCCAGCCTTTTCTCAAATAAAGCTGGAGTACAGGCTCCAACAAGGCTGAATAGTGTGTTCCACACTCCCAGCTCTTCATCCTGGTCTTGTTTACGCTTAACATGTGCTTTCCACTTGTAACACCTGGCTCTTGTTGCAGGTGGCTGAAGAAATCCACTGGTTTGCCTTTGTCAATGTCTTTGAGGATTTTAAATACCCAGATCTTGTCCCCTTGCAGTCTTCACCGTTTCAGACTAAAAAGGTTTAGTTCTTTCATTCTGTCAGGGTAGAACATTCGTTTAAGCTGCATGTAAGCATGTATCTAATGGCTTGTCTCTGGACATATTCTAGAGCAAAAATATTTTTCCATTTTGCATTTAGAACTTATGTTTTGACTACCTGGACGCAAAAGCCCGCAGTTCTCTAATTCAAACATCAGCTGATGGCTTTTTACCCAGTTTTAAATTTTATCTCAATCTTGTAGACTTTCACTAATGCTTCTACAGTGTTTGCTAATTCTTCCATTTTGGCATTGTCTGCAAATGGCTAGTTTACTAACGAGCAAATTGACCAATTATCTAACAAGCACAATCTATATCATTGATATTAATTAGAAAGAGTAGCACAGATCCCTGTGGAAATCTGGTTTTAACATCACCCCAATTGGATCATATGGCTATATGTACTCTCTGCATATACCCCACTATAGCCCTTATGTACTCTGTGTTTTCTCAAACCAATTCTCAATCCAAACATATTCTTTAAATGCCTACTGTCTGTTTTAATGTTTTAAAAACCTTCTGAAAGCAACTACACCATATTGTAAGCTATGTGCGTACATTACTGTTGTTGCTTGTTCAATGAACTGTAAGATTTTAAGGACAAAATTGTACCATTATAGTGAACCTTAAAACCTGTTGGATTTCGACTCTCTGGGATCAAGTTTGGTAACCACAAAAACGGAAAACGGTGCATCAACATTAAAGTTTCTTCAGTTTCAGTTCATTCAGATAAGTGAATCAATATTTTACTGAACTAATGGAGCCCTCGATAAATGAAAAACAAAAGACTGTGTGGCCCTTCAGGTCCAGATTTGAACAATATTGCTGTTAAGGGCTGTGTCTGAGTAGCAAAACTAATTTGGTGTGAAGAGCTTTCTTTGCTAATGAGAGCATCAGCCTGTTTGCATAAAACACCTTCAGATAAAAGACTCCCTAGACTTATACTTTAAAGTTAAATTTGTTAACTTTTCAGTTACATTTTATCACATGGAAAAGTTGAACACATTGAGCACAGGTGCCGTATTAAGTAGCTGTATTTAAAATCTAAGGTATTTTATAAGGTAATGACAGTAGTCACAACTCAAAAGTGCTTAGGCACATAAAATGGCATTTCTTGTTGTGCCACTCCTCTTTCATACACAAAGGCTTTACTGTGATAATGGTGCAGACATGTCTCCATTTGGAAGGGACTTGAGACAGCCAGGGGCTATTGGTTTGGAGAATTGCATGGTGGAAGCCTGTTATTTAATCATGGTTTCATTTGGTGAATGAGTACCTGTGAAATGCATGCATGAATGCATGAAAGTGGCGAATTTTCTTGCATTCATACACCCCACAGTTATTGCAAAACATGGAGAGCAGATCTGTATAATGTGTGTTTTTGTGTACCAACAAAAACTGTGGTCTATTATAGAAGATTAGGGTCACGTACAGCATTCTTTTGTGTTGCTGTTTGTGCAGTAATTTTTTTAAAAAGTTTTGAAGCTCCATAAAGAGGTTTCAGTATGACCATAAACATTATGTTTTTGCCAGTTGTTTCAATCCTGCAAAACAGAAATTTCCCAAGTGTAAATTCACAATATCATGGGCTAATAGGGCAAGTTCAAAATGACTGCAGAATTACTGTAATAAATTGGGATAGGTGATCCAATTTCTAGTAAGTGTTAGAAGAAAAATTTCTGACAGAATGTTTTTTGGGTTGTGTTAAAATGGACCACTTCTTTACATGTTTATAAAGAGCAATACACTGGAAACAGTACTGTTGTCCTTCACCACTGAAAGATACCATATAAACACATAGGTCCGCATTTTTTTTGATCAAGTTACTAATTCCTACCCACTAGAAAGACACACATGAATGTATAATTCCTCAAGGCATTTATGAAAATCAGGCTAATTATGAAAACTGGATTTTTATCAAAATTATGCAAATTTAGAGTTTTAGGCATCATGCCTCCAGCAAAAACTGTGAATATTACTGTGAAGTTAATTTGAATTAATTTCTATCAATTGCAATGTCAGCCTGTAGAAAAAAAATGCAAGATTTTTATTCTGTGTTAAGGAGTCACCCATTACTCTTGCAAAGTAATGCAACACAATATCATGTTTGTATGTATTTAGAACCTTTACAACCTTACTTTAGTTAATTTAGTGATCATGTGATGTGGTATTTTGTAAAAAATGTCAACTGTCCCAAGATTCCACATGACATTTACTGTTGTAGCAGTCACATGGAACTGTTCTTCGGTTGTAGCATTCCTGGGTTTTTATCCCATGATAAAATCCTGTCACTTTTGTTATTTGCTAATAATTGGATCGTCTAATTAATGTGCTTGTACACCAAGTCTCCAGAATTATACAGAACACTTCTTGGAGTGGCTCAGGTAGGACAGGTTCAAAATATATTATGACACTTTTGTCATACAATACTGTATGTAACCAGTGATTGCTAAGCATTGGTTTAGGAACAGCTGATTCCTTCATATCATGTTTACTTGGTAATTCACCACAAGATGTCTTAGAATACCCTATTCCTATTCCTATTCAATAGCTGTAGTAATTTACTACAGAAGGTACTAACCCTAATGAAAATTCTAGCTGATTTAAATAGAGATTAGAAAGTGATTTCTAATTATTTGAGCTGCCATCTATTGGTATATGAGCTGATTTGAACTCCTCACTAGTATAACCTAATACTAGCATACTATACTATAACCTAATAATTACCAGTAGAATTGAAACTTTCTCTTTTAAATTGTTGCTGCAATAAACTGGTTTCTACCTTTAAAAGTTATGAACTTTTAAGCACAAACGTGAACTTTTAACTTGACTTTCCACTAGAGAAGTTATTCCTGAAATATTATATTGCTGTGGTACTTTTCCCACAAGAAATTCTATAAGGTTCCTGTAGTAATTGTCTCTGTTGAAATAATCATGTGATAACTGCTGTTCTACTGCAGCGGAACACATTTCCGTAACAGGGATGCAGCTACTGGATATGAAAATAAACATTCACTTTCCTGTTTTCACTTAGAAATAAATTTAGACAACTTGTTGATAACTTCGTTTGAGAAATCGCTGAAGATGTCCACATATTGGTTAATTCAAAAGAAACTGAAAATAACCTCGCATGCTTTGTGAATCGCAGGTCACATTCATGGAGTGCATTCCATTAATTTTTCGTTAGGGTTGCCTGTCAGTTCAAATGTATTGGGGTATGAGTCAGTGAACAGTATAATGCGTATAAAACGACATCGAGGTCATTATAAGCACTGGTGGGACGACTCGATTAACACTATTGTAGTTCAAAACCCCACCGTCTGTTGCGAAGTGCTTCGCGGCCATATGTTTTAGAGCGAAACAAACGGTTTTCTTTTCAACCATAAACATACACGCATCGCTATAAACACTAATGTCGCCTGTTTAAACCAATCCTCGTACGCTGTTTGCTGAGCACCTTGCAATGTGTAGCCTATATGAGAATGAAACCGTGGGCCCCTCCTTCATGCAGATGTGGGAGAGTAAAGTGAAAGAAAAAAGTTTGTATCAGTTTGTGATAGCTGGCTGGCTCAGTGTAGTGCGTGAGGGAACAGTGGAAGATGGCGCAGCAGCGCTGCTCTGCCACGTCTCGAAACACAGAGAATCTCAGGACTGTTTTCAGGGCTTGGACATATCTTTTCACTTCGCTTTTGCTGCTCTCTGTGACCGCTAAAGCCGGGCTCTATACCCCGACTGATCAGATCGTTCTGTTAAGTCCTGACAACATCGACTCCGTGATATTTAACTCTTCCCGCTCCCTCCTGGTAGAGTTTTACGCTTCTTGGTGTGGGCACTGCATTGCCTTCTCTCCTACCTGGAAAGGTTTGGCGAGAGACATTAAAGGTTTGTATCTTCTGTAAAAAAAAAATGCTGCTTACTTTGTTGCTGACTGCAGGGATTGGGATTTCGTAGGGTCATGCGCTGGAAAGAGTGCATGAGCGGTGAACTACAGCTTCGTAGTTTCTTCGAAGCAGATCTTACTGTTTTCTTTGGTCAAACTTTATGGTTATTTTTTACATTATGTCCAACGTGAACATAAAGAAAATGATTTAAGGGAACTACAATTGATTTTGCGTGTACTGTGTTAACTTGACAACTGCAACATTTGCATGAGCAAAAGGGGAACTTCCCAAAGCAATGTTTCTCCAATTTTGTAATGTGGAATTCCTTTTTTTTCTAGAAAGAGAACGTTTTATTGTATTGTTTATTGTTTTATTTTATTATTGTTTATTGTTGTATTTTGTCATTATGGTAGAAGACATGAATAGGGCGTCTCGTAGTCGCAGGTGACAAGAGTTAAGCTTTGCACACCAACCATCTACCCTTGCAGGTGGTGAAATGTAACGTAAGACGTTGAATGTCTGGCATTTAAATGTATTGGTCTTTGGTGTTTGATAAATTAGTTTGTCATTTCTTTCTGTTATGGTGTACGTTTTGCAGTACTGAGCCACAGGGCATATACTGCATTAACGGTAATCTTTTCAGTTCTCACAGTCTGTAGACACGGGTACAGAGTTGACTTGGGGCGCTCAAATGAGAATCACTGGATTGATTTAAAGTTCAGGGATCACCTAATCCACGTTACAAAAAGGTCTTGTCAATTAGGCCTGGTTTGATACAGTTTCTCAGGGGAGTTGGCAGAGAGCCAGGACCGTGTGGCAGGGGGTGTTGAGGACTTGATTGAGGTGCACTTGTTAGCCGTTCGAGGCAGCTCTCGGGAAAACTCTTTGGCGGAGTGCCTGCCTTCGACTAGAGCTGTTGTGGATTTCATGAACTTTGTAAGATGGAGAAAATAATACCAGCACTGAATGTCCTTTAAAGATAAAAGCTACAAAGAGCTAGAAATGGAAGCGATCAACAATAGTGATCAGCAAAGAGAGAAAATGTGTTTAATACAAAAGCAAATAAAGGGAATTTCCGTATTCAGAAATCCGAGGTCATATGGAATACTGAAGTGGACACATCTAAATTTTTTTTCTTAAGAACTGTTAATTTTTAATGTATATGATCTTGGACTCTACTGTGGGTCACAAAGCAGCAGATTTTATTGCATAATTGAGTTGCAATAGAAAAGAAAACAAGCTAAAGTGTACACAAAACTACAGAAAAACTCAGTGAATATGGACTTTTGTTTTACAGGTTCTTTTTCATGGACCCTTTCAAAGTCACAAATCGCCTACTCAGATTGTAAAAATCCGAGGTAAAATAAAGCTTCTCTAGGTTAGGGAGCCCACAAAACTGAGAATACATGATAGAGACAACGATTATTTTCATGAGCAATCGTGCATGGCAGGAGATGTGACCTTTTAATAAAAGAAACGTTTTCATGCAAACCATGTTCCAATTCTGGATGACAAAATTGTCTATCTACCAAACATTACAGTATAAGAGTCTAAGAAGCTCAGAAGAAGCCAAGCCATTGGGCTCACTCAGTGCTTGTCAATTTGTTTCTAGCCTGGCCTACCTAGGAGAGGATCCACAGACCTCTTGCTAGTAGAAAGTAGGGAATAACTGCGCAAGTATATTCATATTGCTACAGAACGGCTTACGTACTCTTCCTCCGGGCTCTCTAGCTGCCCACACGTAAGACATCAGAGCTAATGTCCAATTTTAAACTAGAGGAGGAGCAGAACTATAGAACAAAATGCTGCCGGATCTGTAATTATTCTGTAGTTGCATGAGCGTGTTTGTCGCTGTACTTTGAAGGGTGTAGAATGTTAATGGCATCTAAAAACAGCAGCAGCAAAAATGATGCAGCAGTGATATAGGTCTGTTCCTTTCTGCTCACAATTTAGCATTGTTGTTATTGGAAATGAAGACATAGGATCAGTGTGAATGGTGATTCTTTACAGGAGGGTAATCAGAATGGGGTCACTACCTAGTGCCTGTGTACTGTATTTGTGTGACAAGGCAGCAGGCAAAGACAGAAAGGGGATCTGCATCTTCCCCTCTGCATGCAGGGTAAAGGAACAGTGGCACTTACACAAGACTAGGGAATTGAGCTTCTGCTACAATTCCAGGTGATTTTGAACAGAAACCAGATGAAGAGCAAAGGAAAGCTGGAAGGGCTGTCTTCTACTAGACTCGGTTATCTAGTACTGTATATGTTAGATGGAGAGACACTACAACCTACATTCAGGGGAAGAGAAAGGACAGAATAGTGTAGAAATGTTGAGTCTTTAAAAGGCCAACCTGCAGCTAGGAGAAGCAGGGTTGCCATGAACAGCAAGCATAGATTCAGACCCGCATCTTGGAGAACAAGCAATTCATAGTCTGTCTGAAAGAAATCCTGCCCTGATGAAGAAGACCGCATGGATAGCAGTGCTGAGCAAAGACAGATGGACAAAGACACAAAGACACACGCAAGTTAAACCAGCCCTCTGCCTCACTTTGATTAGAGGTTAGTTTGTCACACATTCAGCTTGTGTAGTAATTGTTGTTTGATGGCTGTGCACTCTTTCCCTAACCTCATTCTGATGACAGTGAAGCATTCATCGTTTATGGCCTTTTTCCAGTCTTTGAAAAAGTTTTTTTACTTTATACTGGACCTCCACATGTACCTGAAATGTCTTACTAAATGATCATGTATTGAGCTGAACATTATCATTATTCTGGATGTGAAACTAATTTGACTCGAAATCAGCTTTTGAGCAGTGTATCATTAAATACTGACCACTATACTGGAGGAAGATAGTCTGTTGACATAGCAGTCAACATTGCTGTTTTTCAGCTCATGGGCTCTGGCTTTAAACTGGATTGTCTACATGTTTGTCCTGTTCATTCCCATCTACCAAATGCATGCTGGCTATGTAAATTGGCGACTCTGAATTGTCCCATATGTAGCTGAGATGGACTGTCATCCTCTCCAAGGTGTTGGCAAGCCTTATTCTTTATTCTTCCCTGAGTGGAAGACAGTAACTGGCTTGCCATGGTCCTGACTAGGAATATCTGATAATGGATAGAGTATCAATTTTACTTCAGTATAGGAGGCAGGTGGTTGGTCAGTTGTGTACAGTCCTTCACAATATATGTTTTACAATCCTAAAAATGTAGATTTTGATCCTTCTTGATTTTTAGTTGGTGTTTTTTTTTAACTCTTAATTTTTAAGAATGACTGTGCAGGCAAAACAGAGGAAAAAAAGGTTAATTGGGTTACTGAGCTACAGTTAACTGAGCTGGATCGACGAATTGTCTCAATGGTACACTCAAATTGCAAGAGTGTATTTATTAGAAAAAAATTATACAGTAATAACTCCCAAATAAATGTTTGTACTAAAGCAGGTACTTTGGTATTAACCAGGTAATGATGTATAAAAAACAGTTCCATTCATTAATACATACTTTTTTGATTGCCTTCTAAACTAGCTGTCTTATTAATTATGTTGTATAGTTTCTGTATGCTGAGAGAGCTGGTGCTTAGAGGTCAAAGCTTACCCTGCATGTGAATTTGGCTATATATGGAGAATTGTGATATGCACTGGAGAATATCGGAGCTTTTTCTTACATCTGTTACAGCTACCAAAATTCGTGGTGTTGGCCCTCTAGTGGAGAGCCTAGTTTTCCTTCTTCTTGAAATACAGTAGCTGTCCTCCATGTTTCCTTCACTTTTTTTAAGAATACATTTTTTTACAGTTTTGTGTTCTCTAAAGATGATGGTGAAAAATGACTATTTCCATCAGATGAAATTAAAATGTATCATCATCATATTAAACTTTGATCATCAAAAACCTTTGCATTGGGTTGCAATTGTAGTCTTCACCACTGAATATTCTTGCCAAGTATAATTTACCAGAGATACAAAATGCAGTAATATTTGTAAAATGACTCTTAAGTCTGCAGTTTAGTAATGTGGCAAAATTGTGAAGGTTAATTCTGATCTAAAAATTAAAAATCACTTTTTTGTTTTTAAAGACCCTTTATATAATATAGTTACAAATGTGGGGTTACGAAATGGTGAAAATCTGGAATTGACCAAGCAATTTAGTCGGTAGGTAAAATAAATATTCATAACCCCCAACTTGTAAATTATTTCTCCAGAATATACCCAAGCGGTTGGTATAGTTAGAGGCACACAAATTCTTTATTCTCTGGCACAGCTTTGGTGAGAACAGTAATAATAAGGGTACACTTTGTTAAAAAAATATTTATTACATTGTCAAGACACAAGCTACACTAAACACAACAAACCATACACCACACAAGTTGCTATATGTACAGTATTTACAAACAAGGCATTTCAGGGGCCTAACATTTTAATCACCCCCAAAAAAACCCAGACTATGAAGTATGAAACTCTTAAATAATGCCTACAGAGGCCAAATAAGAGATACCTGTAAACTGTCTTTTAAAGAAATGCAATACAACCACAGTTAGACCTCTCTCTGCACCCCGGATGCCACAAAATAAATGGAAGCCTATTTCTTTATTCTAAAAATGCACACTAAGCACGAAAAATGTTTTTAACCGGAGTATTTTTAACCCTGGAAAACCACGTTCCTTAAAAACACAATAGAAAGCTTTCTCTAGCAAGGTTCAAATATTTAAATCCAGTCAGGTTTTCTTTGGATGATCGATCATGAAGTAGGGGCTCTTGCCTGGCATAAGCTTAAAGTTCCCTCCTCTCTCTCTTCTCTCTCTTCTTGTCCTCTTCTTCCCTTCTTCTCATCGTTCCCCTTCCTTGTTGTCTCTTTTATATTGTTTTCTGTACTGCTGATTGACAATCATTAACCCACTTACCTAACTATACCAAGGTAACCTTTAGAATGGTTTCTGATCAGGGGACCCCCACATCTCAACAAATATCCTCTCTGCTTTGAAGCTAGAAGTGTTTACTCCGCCAAGTGTCACAACTTTTATCTAAAATCTAAGAAACACTTTTCTCTTACTGTAACAATATAAAGTAATACATAATATATGTATATGCCAATATTTTGTTAAAAATATACTGCAGGCCTTGTCAGCTATTAGAGGTGAGTTGTCTCATTCATGTTGGGTGTATGCTTTTAGCCAACTGGCAGTAATTGATTTACATGTTTCAAGCTATCACACCCTTTGGGAGCACTTCTGTACTAGTCAGGTACTAATAAGTCAAATGCTGTTAAAGAAAAGCTAGGAGTTTTTTTTTCCTTCCATTTTTGCATGTATTTTATATTTGTGGGGCTTTGCATTAGCTAATATGAAAGAAGTCATTGTTCAAATGCTGTTGCTGAGACAGTGTCACCAGATCTAAGCCAATGGCATTCACTCTGTGAAATTCAATAGTGTTTGAGTGAGTCGTGTGAGATTCCATGTGCCAAGCAAGGTTTGCAAGCACGTGTGTAAAAGCCTCAAGAAAAGTGTCAGATTTGGATACATCTTAAGGAACCAGAAAGATATTAAAGGGTTTATTTACAGCTGTTTTTTGGCTTTGAGATCCTTTCCATTTCTCCCAGATTCCCTCTTTATTTTCTTTTATAATAGATGGTGTGGGCTAGAATAGAGTCTTATCCTCAAGAGACTGCACCAAAATCACAGCCAGACCTATACAATACGACCTATTTTTGTGAATGTATGCCACAAAAAATATTTGTCAAATCCTCACATTTGTAATGCGTGTAGGACAGAAAAAACGATAGTATAAACAGGAACAATCTCATGCCGTATCATTCAAAATTTACGGTCTTGTGTTGTTAAATAAGGCAAAAGGAACAAGCACGTTGATCAGAAGGCTATAACATCTGACTGAAACTCTGAGCTTTGTGTAACTGTATGGGGGTTCCTTTTTTTCTGAGCAACACAATTTATAGCCTGCATTTTTTGTGGTAGGATATCAAAAGGGGATTTTTATTTTCTGAAATGAAACCAATGAAAAAGGAATAATTTGAAATCAATTTGAAGACTGCCACTCAAGTGAATTGGCGGTGCCATTTTAGTTGAAGCTAGTGCCTTCCTTTTCTTTTAAACCTAGATTATGTACACCTTAGATTAGACCTTAGATTAATGTAGTGTAGTGACAGCATTTGTATTGCAAAGCATTGTTACAGTTCAAACATAACTACTTTAGAGGCAGAGTATTCCTTTGGACTACACAGTGGTTGTGTTTTTTGGCTTATGTCTCCTTATGTGTGTTTATTCCAGAATGGAAGCCTGCTGTGGACCTTGCAGCCATGGACTGTGCGGAGAGAAGAAATAGGGAGACCTGCTACAATTATAATATACAAGGATACCCCACCATAAAGGTACTGGGGAGGCAGGGAAGACAACCAGACTGTAGGTTTTATGACTGTGTATCAACCACCACTGATGCAGTCACTTATACAGGAACTTGACTGTCAGCTCACCTGAAAGAGCCCGATGAGGTGAAATAAAGGTCAGGAGTCTCCTTGGAGCAAATCATAGTTACCTTAGCAACTGCCCTACATTTTCCCCCTTTTTCCTGCTCTGTGACAATTTGGGTGTTCATTAAAGCATGAAGAATCTGCTGGCTGACGGTAACATAATATCTGAAACTTAATTGTCTCGCTTAGAGGTCATGTCATGTTGAGAGGGCTCCTGAACAGAGCAGTATAGGGGTGAAAGCAAGGGACTCGCAAATAGCTCGTGAAATGGTAACTTTCATTGTGCTGCATATGTTTTGACTGGACACACATGGGATAGTCAGAGCTTGATAATCATTTGTAGCACTGTCTTATTTTGTATTCACACTTATCATTATGTTGCCAGTAAGTATGCCCTTAGGTATGCTGCGCTTATACTCAATTACAGTTTGTTCTGCAAGCAGGATTTGTCTTAACTAGCAGTCCTCCCATTTTGAATGGGGTATTTGGTAGTAAAGAGTATTTTGTATAAGAACTAGATTGCTTGTTTTTTAAAACAGTCATTCCTTCTCAATATTCTCTTCAGTGTAACATTTTGTAATGTCCTGTCAGATGAGAACAACGCTACATGTGCCTATTACTCTACAAGTTTATGGACAATGGATAAAAATCTGGAGTTTATAACTGAGCATAATATGAATATTCTGGTTAGTTTTTATGATGTATTATCCCCAGAAGGCCCTGCAGGGCCATGAAACTAGGTCAGAATGGGTCCATGACAAATTCTTGGAATGCTGATAATTCAAAATGAATCTCTACGTTTACATGCTAGAAAAAAGTGTCTGTCACAGATTGATTACGCAGCCAAGTGATGCTGCTGATTTGGTTTTTGGCTTGAAAATCAGCTGTCAGGAGTGGTCATGATTTCATGATTGAAAGATCATAGTAGGCCTTTTATTAGAAATAGCTGCTTTCACAGAAAAAGCTTGACAACACAGTGGTTCTAGGCTCTGGATCCTTGACTTCTTCTGAGTAGTAGTTTGACTTATGCGAGTTGCAGTTCCAAAATTGTCCGATTTCCAATATGTTGTCAATTATATTGACCACAGTGTAACCCAGTCCTCCATCTATCAATATTTCCCCCGAAACACTGTTTGCAATTGCAAAATACTAAAGAAAGTTTATAAATTATAAAAAATACATAAGAAAGCTTACAAACGAGAGGAGGCATTTGGCCTTACTAGCCCATTTGGTAGAATTGAGCAAAGGGTGTCATTTGACCATTTTTTGAAAGAAGCCAAGGTACTGACTTCAATAATGTTTGGTGACTGCACCAAACAGTAGCTAATGTGCATTTGGAAAGTTAAATTCTGAGCATATGTAAGTAATTTAAAAGTTATACAGTATCTCTCATATTGTAAAAGGAACAGGCTATAGAATATATTTGAATATATTACAATATTCAATGTGTTCTATTTAATATTGCACTTCAAAGTCCAAAATTTTACAAAGACAAGGAACATTAAAATGGATTATTTTCCCGATATATAAGTAATTTTATTAAATGTTTATTTTATGGGACCACAAGACCTTTAATGTTCTTGTGCCATGTGCCCAGCTGCTGTTTAAAAGAGATCTTGTGGTTCTCATCTGCAGGGTAATCACCTTGATGCACTGGCCTTCGGCCAGCAGGGGGCTTGATTAATTTGAGATTAGTGGTGGATTGCGCGAGGTAAGGTATTTTTCCTAAGCTGCAGGTTAAAGAAGAGATTAAAAATGGTAACATCCTGGTACAGCGGTACGCAGAGACATGACAGACAATGGAAAGTATCAACATCTATTCAGTTCACCCACAATCTGCAGGTTGCAGTTTAAACACCTGCCAGTGGTTATGTTCTAATTGGAAATATTTTAAGTGAAGCTTTTGTATTAATTTCCCATGTATTTAAAGGATTGCTTGTTTGTAATTTATTTAATACACTTTTCATGGTTTAGCTTTGCACTACCATTTTAACATTTAACTATGTCATACAAACTGAATGTTTTGACAATAATGTGGAATTTGAAGAAATATGACGGCGTATTTTGATTGCAGGATTGCATGTCCTGTATTAAGCATTCTGCATTTTAAGCTTATTTTTTTTGTAATTTTTCTCAATGACCATATTTGCCATAATGTGAATTGGCAAAATGAATAACATGAGGGCACCTGATTTTATACAAAGCAAATATTACAAAGAAAAAGTCGTCAGATTCAGAACAGTCACAAACAAGCGGACACAAGTGGAAACTACAGTATGTGGAAGAACATAAAGCAGAACAGAAGCCAGTTATTTACACAGAGGTTTGTGGGAGTCTGGAACAAGTTAACTTGTATTGTCCAAGCCTATGTTGTCCAGGCTGATATCCTGTCTTTTTTTCAGAAATCAGATCATTAAATAAATTGATTTGTAAGTGTCTGATGAGTTAAGACAAATGAAGAGATACTGTTTAATCAGGAAACTCAAATTGAATGATCAAAGTAAGTACAGAGTACAGCTGGAATGAACAGCAGGTTTGGGGTCCCAAGGAATAAGATTTTAAAAACCCTGCTTTAAAAGTCTACCCTGGGTCTAAAACTGTCACAGTTTTGTATTTCTATTGGCTTTATGGGCCACTATTACCATCTCTCAATATTAAAGCATTGTGATATTGAGACCCACATGAGCCCAAGAGAACATGCAAGCTCAAAACTGAAGGTAGTTTAGTCAGCTACTGAACCCAGGACTCGAGATCTGAGGCAGCAGCTATAACTGCCATGTCTCCGTACCACCCTCTAAAGCAAGTATAAATATTTGTTATACTTTCTAATTTACTATCCCCATAGGTGTCTTAAGGATGGCAGTCTTAAAAATAGCATCCTTATATGCAGCTTGCATGTTACTAGGTATACTAAAGGAGGAACTTATTTACATTCTGTTGAGTTCTCAAGTATAAATCAATTGCATTCAAGACGTAAAGTGTACTATACAGATTGGAACTGTTCGCCGTATGATTTTCAGTAGCAGAGCCAACATACTTTATGTAAACAAGGAAACTTTGTTGTTGTTGTTTTGATTTGTCTGTTGTGACACATGAAAGGGTTAAGTTCAGACCTGTATCAGCTGCTTGAAGTGGTAGTTTCATCACTCTGACAGAACTCATTTGAAATCAGTTGATAGTGACCTTGTAGTTGATTCTGTTGACGGGGGAAGTGAGGAAGTGGCCAGCTAGCTTGCTTTAGAAACTGTAGAAATAGATTCTGTGATGTGGCAGCTCTCTAAAGAGCTGTTCTTTGTCTGACTGTCAGGGTAGGGAATCAATCACTGTCCTTTTTACCAAAGGCTCCTTGTGTCTTGTGTTTCAGAGGTGAAGAACACTGAACATTATTACGAATTATAGAGATGCAGCTTTGGAAACGTACATGCATTTGCTCATCTGCTAATCTAAAGAAAGTGCAATAGAGTGGTAATTTGGCTATACTTTACTTTATGAAAGAAGATTAATGTAGGAATCTCCTAAAAGCAGTTTGGACTAATTGCAGAATTTATTTTCGTTTGTCTATAATATGCACAGTTGTGATGCTTCGTGTGTAATTTTTTAAAAATGTGCTACAATATAAAATCGTCTTTAAACATTAGTCTCTTTAATATACAGCTGAGAGTTGGTGGAACTACAGTTTAGTGTCCTGTACTGTATGTAAACAAAATACAGAATGCCTCCTGTACAAATGGCCCTGCCTTAAATATTTGCTGGACAATGGACATTTCTGACTGCAGATTCAGAGTCATGGTTGCTGTACCAGGATTAAAAAATGCTGAATGTTTAGGTAATGTAGGTAAAACACTTGGAACCCCAGTGCCTTTTGACACCTTTTCAAGACATTTGTATTCTAGCACAAAATTTACATGCATAGCTTTGTAGCGGCCATAAACATTTTGAAAACTCATCAGCACATCTTGTAACTATTACAATGAAAAAGTAATCAGATTTACAGTAGGAAACTAGAAACTAGGTTATTTCAAGGACTAGGATTAGCTAAATATGGCTCGATTTTTTTCTGCCGTGTCCTACTGTGACTGGTAGGTGGTTCATTCTGTTGCTGAAGAGTTGTGAAAGGAAAGCGTCTTCAGTTGCTTAAGGTTGAAATGGCCAACTGAAGTTTGTTCTTATATACTGTGGAGTGCTAGCACTATGAGGGGGGGTCTTTAAATCAGAAAACGGGGTTTGTTTTTCTCACTTGTGTTAAGCAAATAGTATATATCTTCTTTTTTTCTTTCTCATAGTTCTTCCAGGCTTTCTCAAAGAGAGGTTCAAAAGGGCTGCATATCAGAGGTAAAGTGCTCCTGTTTATGTTCCATGAACCTGTGCACGTGGTGTGAGAGTATATCTATTCGTTACTGGAAGTCAGCAGGAAACAGAGGACAAAGTGTGTATGATGCAAAATACAAGTGCTAGAAAATGTATTTGGGGGTGAAAATGAAATCTTGTCAAATGCAGTGGAATGTTGTTATAGCACAATGTGAATAGTTGCTGGACAGCTAATCTAATTGTGCTAAACCTGTACAAGGCTTATTTAAGTATATGCAGTGATACAGGTTTAGAGTTTGTGACTTATGGAGAAAACTGTAGATCCCGAGAAGAAGAAAAAGACTCTACAATATATAGTAATCAAAGTTTTAGCTGAAGAAGTCACTCCTGTTGACAGATCACAACTCTACATTCCACACAGTGCCACACAAGCAAGTCCATGACAGGGGCTTCTGAAACTCATACTTTAGACAATGGGAGTGGCTGTGGAAGAAAACACAAACGAAAAACAACTAACGTTCCACAGAGAAGGGGCTCATCTTGAACCAGCAGAGATGTTACCATTGACACTGCTTCAAGTGCATGTGTTAACATTTCTCCAATGTAACATTTTCTCCAAGAAGAGTAAGATGAACAAGAAAACAGAATGGTCTGGGGAAACATGTAACTACTCAGAAACCATTGTTGAAAAGAAGCAATAAAACAAAAGACTGTAATGGGCAACAGAAAATAAACAGTGGGATGATTAAACCTTGGATAAAAGTGCTGTTTGGTAATAGCAGCTGTTTGTGTGAAGGCAGACTGGAGAGCAATATAACAGTCATTGTACAACAGAAACAGTTAATCATTGGGGTGGAGACATGAAGCATATAATTAACAGTGAACACATTTTATTTTAAAGAAACTGATAGGACACATACCAAGATCTACAGTGCCTTGCGAAAGTATTCGGCCCCCTTGAACTTTTCAACCTTTTGCCACATTTCAGGCTTCAAACATAAAGATATAATTTTTTTATTTTATGTGAAGAATCACCAACAAGTGGGACACAATTGTGAAGTGGAACGAAATCTATTGGATTTTT